CCCGGCCTCCCTGCAGCCCCCCGGGCCACGACACCGGCTCGTCTCTCCTGCCAGGACTCACATTCCGGGGGTGCTTTCACCTGCCGTGCAGGTAAGCAGCTCCGCCGCTCGGAATGGCCTTGTTCTGTTTGTGCCTACGCACGTTGTTCGCGGATCCAGGTTTTCCTCACTCCTGTCAACCAACCTTCCAAATCTGGGGTTCCTGCTTCACTGACTGCGAGCTGAGTTTGGCTGAAGAGCCTTGCACTTCTCAGAGTAACCTCCTCAGACATATTATTATTTAATACTATTTTTTAATTCCATATTTAATGTCTGTTGGTAGACACACAGTCTAGAGAGCGCCTCATTTCTCTGCCTGCTTCAGAGACTCAAGTTCTTCTCACTTGACAGCATCCCCACCAGTGTTCCTTTCAACTCAGGCAAGCAGGGAAGACCCACCTGGTTCAAAGCTCACGCTGACCAGCTACCACTCTTACTAGGGAGCACCTGATCTGTGATTTTATAGTTGATATTTTGGGTCTTTCTGAAATGCCTGGCAGCAGATGTTACATCGCTCAGGGTACCACAGGCCTCAAGTCAAACACAATCATCACTCCAAAAGGAGCTTCATTGTCTACTCAGTTCAAAGACTCTGTTAAGAGAAATTATAATCTGTAGAGCACTACAGGATGTTCATTTGCAAAGTCAGTTGCCTACGTTGTTGCACAGTAAAAATGCAGGTCAAAATAGCTGAGTGGAGATAAAACATGGAAAGCACAGATCAAAACTACCTTTACCATGTGGTAATATAGTTGTTAGATCAGAACTATGTCTCTGAACTAAAAGAGTCTGCATCCTGTTAAAATTCCCACATCCCCATGGCAAATTTTATTTCCTTTTGAATTCAGTTGTAAAAATTGGAAGCAAGGAAATTCACAGGCCAAAACACTGTCTAGATAACATTAAGGGGCATGTTGCTTCCAAAGCCTTGCGTGGGTTTTAGCCACATGTCTCCCACTGATTTTAATGGGATTTGCATGGCTAAAATCCTGTGCAATGCTTTGAAAATGTATCCCTAAGGGTCTGTCATGAATTCATAAAGCCCCAGAATTTCTGAGCTAAAACCAAAATATAGTGTTGGCTGATTTTAAAGGCTTGTTACCACTCTCCTAATTAAAATACAGCTTAGTTTGGTAAAAGGTCTATTCTGCTTTGTATATAATGTATATGTGTTTAATATAATTCTAGTATGTGTATAATTTATATGGTTGTGTTATTTACACTACAAAAGAGTTGTGTTATACGCAACTTCTAATTTTCATAACACTTTCATTATAAATTGGGTAGTAAGCTCCAAACAATGAATAAAATTGCTACTGTTCTTTCAATGAGCTCGTAAATGTCACTGAAGAAATTGCCATCATGTTAAGGGTGAGTTGGTTTTGTGGTACACTTATTGACAGAACAGTTTGTTCTCACATAAGATTACAACATTTTCTTTAAACTGTTTTACATGGTATTATATCATTAAGGATCAAGAAAAGCGGGAACACAAATCAATACCTCACAAAATGTTTGGTTTCTGACGAATGTACAAAATTAAGGGAAGTCAATGGGAAGGCTGTTCTTTCATTCTTGTGCCTTACAGGAAGGATCTCAGGTCAACACTGTCATTATATTAAGTGGTCCATGAACAGCCAGTATGTCAGGTCAGCAAAAGCAAACTGGTACTACTGACTGTAAGCCAGTTGCTTAATGCTTTGCAGTGCTATGCCCACCAAATTTGCAGGTTTGCTCATCTTCATTTTCAACGCTCCTAATCTGTTCCTGCATTCCTCTTTGTTTTCACCCTCATTAGAGTTGGATAATGTTGTATTTGATTATCATCAGCTAGAAAGAACACCCTAATCCTATATATCTACCAAGGTAAGCAGGCATTTTAGCACATCCTGACTTGCCATATTAGATATTCAGTAGGTGGTTATTGAATGCACATAAACAAATCTGATTTTGTGTAAGCAAACACCTTAAATACTTGCCAGCAAAATGAGTAAGGTATAAGAAATTTCTACTCAGCTTTTCAGTTTGGGCTATTTCTTGTGTTAGGTATAAAAAGCCATGGAATCACAGAATGGATACAATTAGAAGGGACCACAGTGGGTTATCTGGTCCAACCTCCCTGCTTAAGCAGGGTCATCCTAGAGCACATGGCACAGCGTTGCATCCAGGCAGTTCTTGAATCTCCAGTGAGGGAGACTGCCCACCCTCTCTTGCCAGAGAGGTGGTTTGGTTATTTTTGCTGATCACCAAAATTATCTTTGCCCTTGCTACAAGGTCAAACAAGTTTTGGGAGCATTAGTTTTAAGAGCAGATTCCAGAAAGAATCAGCTTTCCAGGTTCCGACTTAAGTAATAGCAAAGCACAGCAAACTTGCTTGACATCATCAGCTGAACTTGCCCAATATGCAAATACAAATCACCTCACAGCAGTTCAGTCCTTTTAAAATTTCTTGGTTTGTATTTTGCTACCAAGAGGACTCTTAATGTATGAAAGTTTCCCTTCAGCAGGAACAATCCCTTGCAGGTATTCTTTAATGGGGGCTGGTTCCATAGCTCAATGGTCCACAAACTGTAGCCCATGGCTCTGTAGTGGCCCAAAAGCCTTGGATAATAAACAGAAAAATATACCAACTTACACTGTGTCCAAACATGCCATGCTGCTATTTTCAATGTAGCTTTCCTGATTTGCCAGGAGGAAGTTTTCAGCTAAGTGCAATTTGCACATTTGCTCTGGGCCTTTCTTTGAAAAATGCCCTGGTATGTTCCTCAAAGGGTACATGGCAGCTGAGGGTTAAAGGTGGTTCACTGGTCTAGAAAAGCCTTGGGGCCATTGCCCTAGCTGATTCTGGGCAATGTGTTTTCACTGAAATCATCAATCCTTGCATTTTAACTCTGATACTCATTACCATTCTTTAAAAATACCATAAAAATTAAAGATAACAGTGCGTGAACCCTGAAAGGCAATATCCCTTGGCCTCACATATGCATAAGATTTCTCCTCCTCTCCTTTTTTCTTTTCCTTTCTTCCTCGCCTCTAATCTCTCTCCTCAATGATTGCTCTTTGATAAACAATAACATACAAGAAGCAAAACTCACACAGGGAATCAAACACACAAAAAAAAAAACCATACAAGAGGTTGTGTCTATGCACTGCTGTGAGTTGCCCCCTTCTTCACTTGTTTTATTCTTAATTTAGATCCCTGAGGAATTTTCCTGTTTGCCAAAGACACATTGTACATTCTGATTGAACATGTTCTAATTCTTCCATGGGAAAAAAGACAGGGGAAAAAAAAAACAAACAAAAAGCAAAACAAAATCACAACCTCTTTGATTTAAAGAGAAAATTGTAATCTGTATTGTCATCTCTGAGTCTGCCTTTGTCAGCAAGGCTGGAAGAATATGTTCTGATCAAATATTTGGGTGTGTGCTTTTCATTCAGAAGATGAGGACCTAAGCTCCTGACATATCTTGGATGGTGGCCAAGTTTAGACCCCTAATAATTTAAAACAATCACCACCTGCTTCACAGGGTTGGAAAAAGACACCTCCTTCTTGCTGATCACTAGTTTAGGATGAGCAAAACCTTTTACTGCATCAAACTGAAATGTAATAGGTGCAAGAGAATCGAAATCTTGCACTAAGCACTTCATTACCTGCAGGCTTCTGTTGTTTTTTTCAGATATCTGAGTTAGCTACTTTGGCTCATAAGACATGTAGAGCCATGTAAAGCCTGTCATTTTCAGCCTTTTGATATGACCTGGACAGGATGTGTGTGTATATACACGTCCATCATTAGATATGTACATTTGCAAAGTAGAAATACCTGTATGGCTATTCTGGAAATTTTTACAGTTATAATATCAATTCAATTTCTACAACAGTATTTTAGAATAAAGACTGTCCCAGATCAATGCATATTCATTTCAGACCCAGGAAGATTTTAAACAGGGTGTCACCCATCTTTAAGAGCAATGGATAACTTTTCTCAGACCATCAGTTGCAAAGGAAAAACATGCCTTTAAGGACACGTGAAGTGGGAGGTGAGTGGACATCCTCAGAGAGCAGCACTGCCCCTTCAGCTGGTTTTCCAGCCAACAAGCTTCCCCCAGTACTGCTTAACCATAAATGCAGCACTTCTCCCATGATTCCACCAGGACCATCAGATTGCTTTTCATTATCCAAATGAAACAAGGTTCTGGTTGCCCCTGTCTTGACTTTCCTTCAAAGGCCCCAGCTACCCTAAAGCAACAAACAGATGGGAGGATGGTTTGATGGTTAGATGATTTCTTTCAGGCCACCAGTAGGTGCCAGGCTGAGAAGCACCATGTTGTCTAGGACGAGGTGGGTTCAGGTACTTGGGAAAACATAAAAATAAAGCTAGTTTTGTGGGCAGAAGTGAGGAGGAGGATTTACCGCAGCAGCCACAAGGATGGGGCTGAATCTCAGAGTGGGACACAGACCCATGTCACAGGGCCATTCTGAGGTGCCCAGGGGTGGCCCCAAGGGGCCAGACTGCAGCTCCCTGGATGGCGTAGGAGGGTTCAGTTGCAGGTGGGCCTGTGGGACCAAGCCCTCCAGGGCAGGAGATGGAGCATGGCTGCTAATTAGAGGTTTATAGATTCATTAAGGCATTGCCTGAGGACTGCCCTGACGTGGTCTGCTCTACTGGAAGAGGGTAACATCCCCTACAGGAGATGGTATCTCTTCTGTACTTCTACAAATAGTCAGAGATTCAGGCTTCCTTCTGTTAACCCAAGGAACTCCTGCCCGACACCCCCTGCACCTCCCCAGGGAAAGGGAGCAATGTCTGTCATCCCACCTTTGAGCAGTAGCTCCAGCTTGGATATTCTTACCCTAAATATGCAATATGTCCTCCCATAACAACTCTTTAGGCAGAAATTGAGTTCTGACAAAAAAATAAATAAATAATTTTTCTTTTTCTCTTTATTAAAATAAAGATGTCCAAAGCTGTACAATGTGCTTCTTTTACATACTCAAACTGGTCTACTGGGTAAAAAGAAGAAAAAAAGACTCTGTTTTTTTCCCCTCCACAGAATCTAGCTGGCATGCCTCAGAATATTCCAAAAGAAACGGTAATAGAAGAGTATATCGTGGCTCCACGTTTCTGAGGGCTTTCATGAATTGTGAGAATGATTGTCCGTGCATGTAGATTCAAAGATGGGCTTTTCTTTCTTAACTGCTCCTTGAACAGCACAGTCCATATTTGACAAGGTAGAAGCATTAGAGAATAAATTCGCAGAGATGAAAATAGAATTTCCAAAAAAGTTTTCCTTAGACTTCAAAGCAGATAAAAAGAATTCAAGGAAGTTTGATCTTTATTTTATAAGTATGTACAAGAGAAAGAGAGAATGAAGGCAACAGTCAAAGAAAAGTCTAGTTTAATATTTCTCTTGTGGGCATACATAATGAGAAGTGGAACGCCACAATTCCTCAGTGTTCATAGGGTAGCAATTCACTGCCATAAAATTATATCTGGCTTCCTGGAAAATTCCTTCACTTCTGTGTTCTTGTCTGAAATATGACAACTTGCTCTTGAGACTTACAGATGTTGAACTGTACTGGATGGATTATTCCTAGAAAAATTAAAACCTAACAGAGATGTAATCTTTCTTTAAGTTTCCCCACCTGAAAGGCAGTATATTTTCTCTAGAAAAACTAAGAGAGAAATTAATTTTTAAAGCAAAACCTTGTAAAGGTTTCTGATTAGAAAATCAGATAAAAAGGGATGGGTGAATAGTGTTCCTATTTGAGCAAAAGAGCATTTCTAGGATTTGTAAAGAAACTGATTTAAGTGAATGTTTACAAAATTACAAACAATACGCAAAGAGGTAAGGGTGCAAAATAAAATTAAAAAAAAGCAGAATTAAGCAGAATTTCTCTTTCCCTGAGATTTTATTTTTAAAACTGTATTTTTTCATAGGTCAGTGTCTGGTCAGGCTAATTATACCCATACCAGGAAACTAAATAATGCCTGGGACTTTTTCCAACTATAGTGTTTCATCAGCTGTGCAATTAAATTGTCCCCAGCAGAACTCTGGCCCAAGCCAGTAAGAATTCTTTCAAACAGGTTCTGGATGTGGTTTAGGAGCTATTGTGGCCAGGAACCATTTCTGGATCTATTTTTGGATATAATCCAAATCACAATCCTTGTGCAGAAGAGAATTTATTATATATAAGTGAAACCTATTCTGTGCTGGTTTGCTCAAATACCAAAGAAGAGTGCTAGTTACATATAATTTGCTTTGTATGAACATGACAACTTGACCTGTACCATGTCTAAGCAGAAACCTGATAAACAAACCTCAGTGACTATAGGTGTGAGAATGTGTAGTGGATTTATACTGTGCATATAAGAAAAGTACATGCTCATGCATGGGGTCAGTAGCTATAGTGTGAACTAGGTGGAAGACAGCCCATGAGTACAGTGAAAATATGTTACATAACAACAAGGACCTGTCTTCCTGGGCTTAATTGACTGATTTTTCTTCTAATTTCTATACTCTGTATGCAGAGATACACTCATCTGATCAGAACCAAAACGGCATTTTACTCAATGTCTTCCTAGCACAGAGCAAGTTTGTCTTTTCAGAGGCACATGGAAGTACCAAGATTTGACACAAGTTACTTTTGAATTTTTAAAACCTCATGCAAATCTCATTATTGGAAAAAAGATGCAGATAATACAAATGCATCAGCCATATCATACCATGGACTGCTGCAAAGATCACAGGACCAGCACTAGACAAGCCAGCTCTGAACTAGACCACATTAGTGCAGCACTTATCACATGGACTCAAGAAACAGGAGTCAGCACCAGCTGAGGCATATCCAGCAGTTTCGGTCCACTTCAGTGACCAGTAGGTGATCCAGAGAGTGGTAGAGTGAGCCAGTGCGAACTGGGGAAGCACTGGGGCAGGTAGAGCAGGACAGTTCTGTTCAGAAAGCACCTGAAGGAAATGTTACTAGGGTTATTTATCCAATGAGAGTCATCCAACTAACAAAGTATTTGAGGACTGAAATGAAATTTTGATAGTTAATTAAATATCTAGTTAATGGCTCTGTTTATTATACTACTTATCAAAATGCAAACATGTTTATGCTTTTTAACGTATAGTCTTTTTCATGAAAATACACAACTGAGGAAAAATGAAGAACATCTGCAGTAAGTCTCAGGCTTCTATCATACTTGCAGCAAGACCCTCACATCTTTTGTTGGTAGAAAAGACTCTGGGGTTTGGATGTTATGAAGGGCTGTGTCTGATGCACCCAGTTATGCAGCTATTTTGCTGATAGATATGTTACTCATCCAACTTGCATGAACGACCGAGGTTTTTATTAGGCATATTGGAAGTGAGTGTTTTGAGCTGTGATGATTTTTTAAGGCATGATGAGGGGTCCCATCTACCCTAATCAACTTTGCATAGCCGGGGCTCAACTTCCAGTGTTGTCTTTCATCAGTGCAAGTGTCAGTCACTGGCCAACGCGTTGCCCACAGCCCTCTGCCCTCATTTCTTCATGGCGGGATGCATGTTGTTCTTTCAGGACAATTTCTTTTCGCCTGCTTTCCCAGCTTGCTTGCCCATGACAGGTCTGCCCCGGTTATGGCATTCACCATATGGCTGAGCTTGGCTCCACCCTATCTTTTAATAATTCCATCTCACTGACCATCCCCCTTGCATTGCTTTCACTGAGGGCATTTCAGAATTCAGCCCCAAACTATTGGTTCTGACTGGCTTGCCCATGTTAAATCTGAAAATATTAGCATTTATTTTCCGCTCGGTGATAGCCCCTGAAGTGACCTTAGTAGGTTATGTCTCATTTCATATATTTTCCTCCTATGGTAAACTGATACAGTGTTGATACAGCTACAGTTATTAAGCCACAGCTTGAATTCAGATAAATGCTTTTGGAAACATGGTTTTAGAATATAATGTAATTCATAGACATTTTTTCTCTCCTTTTCTTCACATTTCTATATTGAAAATATACAAAAATACTTTTTTTAATCTATCAAATTTTCCATAAAATGCAAATATGGAAAATGATTACATGCAAGTATATACAGAATGGACAACAGACCTCCAGCTGTTCTGAAGGATTGGTGCAAATTCACAATCCAAGTTAAAAACAAACTAGAGAAATATTTGAGAGAATTACTTTTTTTAATATAAAGCCTACAATTTTTTAAGCTGTTGAAAGGTAGAGATGGAGACCTGCTAGCTTATTTTCATCTGTGAGAAAGGAGAGCACTTCAAAAAGTGAAAGCTATTCAGCAATCTGATTACAATAACTGTAAATATATTAGTTGCGTTATAGTGTTTTTAATTATTATTTTTACATCTTTTCAGTTTCATAGTTGATACAAATTACACTTTTTTACCTAAGTCTGTTTGTTCACACACTTGGGATCACAAGGATTGTCCCTGCATAATTTGAACCTCATGTTAAGGCTAAGAACTTTCCAGTTGTACAATTTTGGAAAAATTGCTTACAGCCATGATTTGGCTTAGCTAGGCATATACATCCATATAGTTTTAATTACCTCTGTACATGGTATTTCCCGTAAGGCTCTGGCCTCACACGACACAGAGGATGAATGGCAATCACCATGCCAGTGCCTGTTCACTGTTTCTTTAATCTGGTCAATGCTTTGTGTCCTATAAAACGAGAAAACAAGGAAAGGCTTCTTTCCTTCTGAGCTTTGCCAGGGCTCTGATCACTTTAATATAAAACAAAGTGGTAAAGCTGAAAAGGCAACAATATGATCCCTCTTGGATGGAGAGGGATGGAAGTGATCTTACTCCTGTGTGCAGTCAGGATGGACATGCACAGATGGATTAAGCAGCAACCCTCAATTTAGGGTGCACAGTTAGTTCAGTTACAACTTCATTTTATCCTTGTTTATACACAGGATGTGACAATTCCCCAGGTATTGTGGTCTGCAAGACAGAGCTGCCAATCCTTTGGTTTCTCATGAGCAGGCTGAAGGTAAGGACCGTGGTCAGTCTCACAAGGGTACAAAGAATGAAATCCACAGTCAGGAGCTTCCAGTGGGACAAAAAAACCTCTCAACTTGATTCCCTCCTCTATTTGCTGTCTTCTCTGAGCTCAGCAGCCTGCTAGAGGTGATTGGAGACAAAAATTCTGCTTAGGGCTCTTTCCACTCTGCTCCCTTGTGGCAGGACAGGAGAAGGAGGTGGGCTCTCCCCCGGTCCCCCTGCCCTCCATCCAGGGGAGAGACAGCACTGACAGAGGGTCTGGAGAGAGGTACCCCATAACTGTGAAAATTCCTAACAGTCTCTGAAAACTGTCTTTCTTTCAGTTCTTAAAAATCACCATGAGGTTTCTGCTGGGAGAGGAGTTTTCTCTGAAGCTTTTTTTTTAATAAAAGCTGCCTTTTAAGCCTTATATCCTCTTTTAAGTGACATAAAAACATTGTTTTGTGCCAGCATTTGAAGTGTGGTATATTTCAAATAAAACAACAAAATAAAATTATTTAATGAGTAATATAAAGAACCTGAAATCAGTGTGCAGCTCCACACATATAGTTACAGATATATGTACACAGCACACCAACTATGGCTGTATGGCAAGATAGCCAAATTTCTTGTAATTGTGTATTTTTAATTTACCTGTACAGTATTATAGGGCCCTGTATAAGAATTTTATGCTTTTTATCTAGCACCATTTGACTGCATGTGTTTCTGTTCTGGTTTATTGCATATCAGCTAGCACCATTTGACTGCATGTGTTTCTGTTCTGGTTTATTGCATATCAGCTAATCGCATAATTCGGCTGGATGCATACTAAATTGAAGTCCAAATGCTGTTCACTACAGTGTAATCCCTCTGGATAAATGAATAGTCAGTATACCCACTGGACTGCATTCCACCATCACTACTTTGTAAACAGCTGTTAGCATGTGTTGTAAAATAGAAGAAAAAAATCTGTTATTGCTACATATAAAAATGTGGTTCTTTTGTCAAAATCTTCACTGCACTGGTGAGAGAAATGTGCAAAACATTACGATGAGCTGAAAAAACACTGAAATCCTTAGCCCTTTCCATGGCAGGTGGTGCTTCAAGAGCACAGGCAGCAGAAGCACACATCTGGGACAAGGCACGGGAAGCCCTAGAGGTCCCACCAGTGATTCCTGAAGACCAAATCACAGCTCTGATTAGGTCTTGACAGACTACACAGGCAAAATGTACAATTGTACTACAAGTCCTTTCCTGATTTGTGCATGTTTAGAAGATGAGACAAATCATAGTAAAGCAAAACAAGTGAGAAGAAGGTGTCTTTTCCATCTGTGCTGCCATGGAGCAGCCTTCCCCCACCTGCCTCCCACCCCTGACAGCACAGAGGTTGTCCTTGCTTTTCAAAAGAGCAAGCAGCAGCCAACAGGTGTGGGTTTTTGGGGAAGCTTTGTGAAGCAAAAGTTTCTGACTTTTTGTCTAGGTGGGCAAGGGGGGTGAGTAACAGCTTAGGGCAGATGGGAGAAGGTTGTGGCAGCTGAGAGAGCAGCTGTGGGAGAAGGGTAAATGCTCACATGGAGAGAGGTGTCCAAGCAGGGTCTGCGCACATGGTGGGAGGGAGCCCTTGCCTGCTCACCTCCAGCCTCCAGAGTGTGGCCGAGGCCACCGGTTCAGCATTCCGTCTGCCATCCCTCCAGGGATGCCTCGCAGCAAAGCTGGCTGCATCAACATCCTTAACAGCAGAGTGGAAGTCTGAGCAACTGATCTTAATGGCCCCTTCTGGCCTGAAATTCCATGAAATCTTTCTAATTCTGTCTTTATAGCCAAGGGGTATTGCACAAAAGCAATATTCCCCAAACACTCTTAATTTTTAATTATTTAGTATTAATTTTCCTTTGATCCAAAGACCAACCAGTGTTTTGTTTTCATTTTTTTCCATCTTCAGTCTCCTTTTTTTCCCCACTGAATGATTTAATTCTTGAAGCCAGATTTGAGAGTTCTGGAGTTTTCTATGCCAGGAGGGCAGGTCCTCTCTAAAACTGCACTTCAGCATCTATCTTTCCTCCCATGTCCTTCTGGGGATTTGCCAAAGGGGATTCAAAACTAGTTTAAATGACACGTACAGATGTAGAGTAGGTGTGTCAAAGGTCTGTTATTTTATCTTACTCTTTATTTGCTATCAGCATATCAAATCTGAATGCAGCCACCAGAAGCCACTCCCCATCACTCAGGCTGCTAGCACATTCAAACAAGGAAAAGGAGGAATATAATATGACATTGCCTTAAATGAGATTCTCATCACTGAGGTCAACAGCATGGCAGGATTAGAATAGAGTTATGCATGTCACTGATGAATGGAAATATCCATACTGATATTACATAAAACAGAAAAATTAAGAGACTGACATTCCCATGGTGCAGGGCAATGGCTGCACAGACAGATATGAAAACTGTATTTTCCCTAGAAGTAGATCATTAAGATAATTGTTTACGAGATTTCTTATGTCCTGCTCTGAAATATCTCCTATAGCCACAGTGTCCATGTCTGTTGGTCCTCTGTTTGGATCCAGGGTGGGACATCTTCCTCTGGTTCTAATTTAGGGGTGGTGAGTATATATTGGAAATTAGCCGTGTGCATTCCCTCTAATTTGTTTTGCTTCAAGGATGTTCACATCTCTGTGGTTCTATTTCCACTGGCAATACAGGGGATGATTTCACTGGCACAAAAGCTCATTAGAATTATGAGATTTACTGGAATATCAGTGACTGGTGTTTTTTAAAAAGTCTGATGAATGTTGTTACTTACTTGCCAGGACAAAGTTGAGGAGCATCTGAAATGCCACACACTGAGCATTCCTGATGCTTATCAGTAAGTTTTGGGAAATTTTGGGATATATTCTCACATACATTTCATACAACTCTAAGTTACTCATGCCTAAATTCACAATAGGAAAATTACTTGCGTATGTCAAAGGTATTTTTTTCAGGCATGGTTCTGTTTTAAAATTCCAACTAATATTTTAACATGTAGCACAGTCTTTAAAGCTGTATTAAAATAACAAAAGTGACCAGGAAAATCCAGCTGGGATTTCTGTTGTAATTTTAATTCAGATGTATTATATATCTTATGCATTTCACAATATGCAACCATTATTCTGTAAAGAGCTAAGCATGTGTTTAAATTTATACATTTTGAGTTTTAATGAGAACTCATAGAGTGTAAAGTTAAGCATACATAAAATCAGATTAAGAGTTAGTGTTAACACTAGAGTGGTACATTCAAACTCTGGAGACACAAAAAACCCAAACACATACTTGTAGATGAGAAAAATTTGATGCATTAACTTTTAAATCCAGGTGGTATTTTTATTTTTTTAGAACACAGTCTTCAACTCCAGTATTAAGCTGAATAGTACTGTGTTTTCTTGCTCCATTTTCTGTGTAGTAAGCAGTTTTTTGATACAATCAGTCCCTTTTTATAAGAAAACATATTCCTAAATATAAGTGTCTCTTTCTTGATCCTATTTTTCATATTATTGCATCACCTGACCTTTTTAAGACTCCAGCTTATCTGATCACCTTTCCCAAGGCAATCCATTATTCTGCCATTGATACTCCTACCACGAGGTGGTTTTTTAATTAATTAACTTTATAGTAAAGAGATCGTGGGTGAATAGAGGTGAATATTTTGCAGGGCCATGAGTCATATCTTACTTAAGCAGCAGAGGCTAAGAGAGAGAAATGCAGCCTTTTCCAATCAGCATTCTAGTGGTATCAGATCCAGTAATTAATCTATCTCATTCTTCAGCATGTTCCTCTCACAGAAAGTAGCTCTTTTCTTCTAGGTCAAAGTAATTCCTGTGCTTAATCTGTTCTCTGGAATAAAGTTTTCTGCCATGGGACAGGCCAGTGCTTGGAGCAGTAGTACCTTTATTTTCTGAAGTCTTCTGGGAGCTTCTCTAACGGGCGTACTCATGGCTGTGAAGGCAGCAGCTGCAGTTCAGCATTACAGCTCTGAGTGTCACACATCCTCGCCAGGAGCTTCTCAGTGCATTCCTCTTTAGGACATTTGTTTCCACACCTGTGCCACAGGATCATCCCACAAGTATTTTTCCTTTGGCAATTTCCTCGGTCACTATCATTTGGGGTTACCACATTAGTCCAACTCTGCGAGCCTCCTTCAGGAATATTCTTTCAAGAACAGAACCTCTGGGATATACATCTTCAAACATTTTAATCCAGTATGATTTAGCAGTGTATGCTCATAAAACAGAACTACAGAATTCCCTTCATCCACCTGCAGAGACAGAAAAGGTGGCCAAGAGCTTTCAGTAATGGTGCAGCTCTGAAGGAGTCACCTTCCTTCTCCATCCAAATGTGGTATTTGTGCTGGGAATCCCCATCCAGCCCCTCACATCCCCTCCCTCAGACAAAGTAGGTGGTCTCATCCTCCCTGAACTCCCCTGAACACCTTCCTCCTTCCTGTTCTCTTCTTCATCAGTTGTGGCCACCTGATGATGAGCTGACGGTGTCTTCCAATCACCTCATCCCCATCCTTCTACCATTCACTTCATGGAGAGATTCACACCTGTGTTTGGTTTCTTCTCTGCCCTTCAGATCTCTTTGAAAACTTCATTTCCCAGTGAGCCTTCCAACCTCATTTCAGATACAAGCAGCCGTGGCAGATGTGCCCCTTCTCAGGGCACCAAAACAATCGAGGGTTGGGGGAGTGGGAGGGAAGGGAGGGTCACCTTGCTTCAGCCCCATGGGCCACTTCAGGATTTTATTATTTACCTGAACATGGAAAATTAGTGAATATATAAACAGGACACATTTTCTCAGCTAAATATTTACTGTTTTTTGTCTTATGGAGATAATGCTGATTTTATTAACAGGGGTGTGATCTTGAATCTCATTCCTGGCTTTTAACTATGTATAATAATTCAGTTCACCCATTTATCCCTTTAACACTACATTTAGGTTAAGCAGTAGGCCTAAGGGGAACAAGTTATTACTAGCCTGTTTTTTATTTTTCTTTGATGTCCTCAATTCTATTCTCATTCATGTATTGGGGTGTGCAGTAAATGAACCTTAAGCATTTATTTTATTTACTAATTTTGCTTACTAGCATTATCAAAAGAGAGGAGCAGCTGCGAGCTTCACAGATTGAGCATACATCTGAACATTTAACGGCCCTGGTTTATCCTGGCTTCAAGGCATCACAATATAATATTCACTGACATGAAAGCTGAAGAAAGGATGTCATGGGAAGTCTGAGAGTCACGCTGTGAGAGGGTATGTACTGCAAGACCCTCACTCCATTGGCTTCTAATAGGCTAAGTATTGATATGCAAATAAGAGAGGAGCTTGTGTGTGGCCTTTTAATACAGTCACTAAACATCAGTTCAGAAAAAAATAGTAAGACCGCTCCTCTTATATTTCTGCCTACAGATGCAAAAAACCCAAAATGGATGCATTTTCACTCAGCTGCTTTGAAAGCAAATGAGGCCATTGCTGAAAAACTATGCACAGGACCTGAAAGCTGAAAAATTCTGATCCAGATTTCAAACACCAAGTGCTGAGGTAGGCTGATAAGCAGAAGTGGGCTAACCCATGGAGGGAGGGTTAAAAAAAAAAATCAGTTCCTTCATTCCTAACATTCCTCCCTGGGAGCAATACATGTGCCTGTGGAAGATTAGGTGCTGGGTTGCCATCTCTGAAAATAGAAATATGTTTGCAAGGTAGCAGAAAGAGAGGCCCAAAGGGCATCTCCAAGGAGGCTTTGACTCTCCTGGTTGTGACACACACCGATAATTCCTATTTCAAGTTTGAAGCAGGAGCAGCAGATGAGAGGAAAGCAGCTGTTAGTTTATCTTGTAAACAAGCCCCAGCGTGCCACCAGATTATGACAGGGCTTCAGGTTGGGGATGGCCCTACACAGCTAAAAGAGTGAAGTGTTCAAAAAATAGAATTGCATCTGAGAGCACCATTTCCCAGCTACTTTGGGCTGCCTCAAACACCACAACAGGCCAAAGCAGTGAGGTTGCTGGAAGCCATCATTCCTCTAGCTGGGAGGGCACGTGTGGTCCTCTCACAGGAGTCAATCAGTGGGAAGAAATGTAGCCCAAAATCTCCTTTATGCTCTGAATTTATCTGCTCTTAGTAGGCTGTACCAAACCTGGGCTTTCAAGGCATCACCGAGGAAAACCATGGCTGCATGTTAAAGGTGGAACCAGGTTTGCTACATATTCATAGAAATATAGAATATCCTGAGCTGAAAGGAACTCACAAGGGTCACTGAAGTCCAGCTCATACATTGTGTGCATGGATCACACACAGCATTTAACAGAAAACTCAGTGGCCAAAGGATGCACTGGTAAAGGTCCCTTGGACCAGGCTCTTTGTGCTGCAGCTCTGTGTGGCCAAGCTCCACACACATATGTTAATCTCTATTAGCATATGTCAGCTCCAGCTGCCCACATGCCCACATGTGACTGGAGTTGATGCCAGGGGTATCATGAATAGCCCAGCCTTCATTTTTTCCACTTGCCTCCGGGCTTGTCTGTGTGGGAGTATATAACAGTGCAAGATAAGATGCTATATTTATATTCCTATAAGGCACTCACAGATTTGCATTCCAGAACGACCACATTTTTCCAGCTTAACTTAGGCTGCTTTGAAAACAACTCAAGCTAAGCAAGAAAAAGCCATTCTTTATTCCCAAATAAGCATGTCCCACTTCAGTATTACTGCTGAGTTGCTATTCACTGCTGTGATTTCTCACATGAAAACAAAGAGGGGCAGCAGGGCAGGATAGACCCACCTCTGCAGAGCCTTGGGCCACTTGCCACTCTCCCCAAACCTCTCCATGTGTAGGTTCCCCAGTGCCTCTCCTCTGCCCCTCCTTCTCGAGCAGCTGGTCTCACTTCCTTCTGCAGCTTTTCTCTAAATGGGTGCATGCACTCAGCCTGCTGTATACACATATTCCCTCCTAAATTCACTTCCTTTCCTCTATACACAAGCCTAATCACAAGATTCATCTTACTTTCCATTTTCCTTGCTGACATTAAATAAAGAAAAGCAGCAGCAAAGAAAGAGAAATGTAGAAGTCAGCTTAATTCCCAGTGGATATAAACTGTTCCAATGCTGTAACACATACCTGCACACACACACTTGTGCACCCATATGAATCTTCATAACAGATGAAATCACTTCTGTGTCTTCCTATTACAGAGCACACTTCCCTTTCAACACAACTAGTAGGGAAGCTGCTTAATAATGAAGACTTGAAAATCTGCTCTTATTTCTGTAGGCTTTAAATGTTCAGCTCAGCCCTGTGTTGTGAGCATCATCCTTTCTGGCATGGCAGGCTTAGGAGGATTCACATAGAGCCCATTAAAATTGCTCCTTAATTGGCTCAAGGCTTCAGTGCTGATCTCAGCTTGGCACAACCTTCATTTCCTGTGTCCCACTCAAGGCCCTGTCAGTTCAAAAAATAAAAAAATCAGGAGTAAAACCTGAGAATGACACATAAAATTAAAACTAGAACTTAGTCTGGGAAATCACAGATGAAAGATGTGCATTTTATAGCCTTCGTGGGAATATATTGCTTTCACAAAACTTGCAAAGATGTTTGATTACAGTTTTTAATTCTGAACTTTGTGTCAAAGTGTTTAACCTTTCACTTACCAGTGCACCACCACTCTTTTACACTGATTAAAATGCATATTCCCTTCCTTTGTTTAACTGCATAATGCTTGTGGTGGTTTGATGCTGGCCAAACACCAGGCCCCCACGAGAGTCACTTGCTCACCCTCTCCTGGCACAGCTAGGCAGAGAGAAAAAAATTAAATGAAAGGTTCATGAGTTAAGGATTGGGAGAAGCACTCCTAGGGCAAAACAGGCTCAACTTAAAGGTACAAAGTATATTTATTACTAACAGAGTCAGGGGAGGATAATGAGACTTAAAATAAGACCTTAAAGCACTTTTTTCCCCCCAACCCCTCCCTCCTTCCCGCCAGCAGTGCAGGGAGACAGGTTGTGGGGGTTTTGGTCAGTTCATCACTGAGGTTTTCTTCCACTGTTCTGGGAAAGGAGTCCTTGGCTCCTTGGGAGAGGAGTCCTTCCCCTGTGAGGCTGTGGGGTCCCTCCCATGGGAGACAGTTCTATGTGAACTTCTCCAGCATGGGTCCATTCCCACAAGCAGCAGCCAAATCTCACCTGCTGCAATGTGAATTCCTCTCATGGGCAGACAGTCCTCCCAAAACTGCTGCAGTGTGGGTCACTCTTCCACAGGATGCAGTCCTCCAAGGACAGGCTGTTCCAGCCTGGAAGCAGGGCTCTCTCTCCACTGGGTTTTCCACTGGATCACAGCCTCCTCTAGGCATCCACCTGCTCCAGCATGGGCTGTGGGTGGATCTCTGCATCCTCCATGGATCCCCATGGGCTGTGGGTGGATCTCTGCATCCCCCATGGATCCCCATGGGCTGTGGGTGGATCTCTGCATCCCCTGTGGATCCCCACGGGCTGTGGGTGGATCTCTGCATCCCCCATGGATCCCCGTGGGCTGCAGGGGCACAGCTGCTTCACCATGGTCTCACCACAGCCTGCAGGGGAGTCTCGGCTCTGGCACCTGGATCACTTCCTCCCCCTCCTCCACTGGCCTTGGCATTGCCAAGTTGTTTCTCTCACATGTTCTCACCTCCTCCTCTTTTCTGACTAGAAGAAATACTGTGTGACATTTTTTTATTTTCTTCTTACATGTGTCATCACAGAGGCATTACCAACCTCTCTCATTGGCCCAGTAGTTTTGGCCAGTAGTATGTCCATCTTCAGAGCCAGCAGGGATTGGCCCTGCTGGACATGGTGGAAGCTTCCAGCAGCTCCTCACAGGAGCCACTTTCATGGTTCCCCCGCTACCAAAAATTAAATGCAAAACCAACACAGGGGAAAGTAAACACAAAGTGTACAGAGGCATATTCTGCAGCCTGGGGACAAAACTTATACCAGCAGTGATGATTCAACCCAGATCACCAGAGCTCTGCTGCATCAGAGCAGGTAATTGCCATGAATCACCTGCTCTCCACAGCATGGAGAAGATTAATGGCAGCAGACATTGGTGCTGCCAACTTGGAAGATTTCTGTGGTGGAGCAGGGACAGCTACTCATGAGGAATTTGTGATAAAAAGCTTCACTGGGACTATAATAAAGTGCTGGAAAGATGCTGAGGTCCTCCTCCATAACGCACGTTAAGGTCTGTCTGATTGTGGTGACACACAGGTATTAGACTGAACACACCAGCAGCTATTAAAAAGGAACCAGTAACTAAAAGCTAATGTCAAAGCATGATGTAGAACTGTCAGATGCTATCAGTAATAATTTTTGCTGTGACCAGCCTCTGGTAAGGAGGGCAAAGGAAACAATATTGCTGCTGACTGCAAGGGACCAGCCGCCTGTGATTTGTGGGTTTCTGAGGCAGAGGGTCTGCTGCCACCCTCTTCAGAAGAGAGAGAGATTTATAATCTCTACCAATTTCCTTTGCCTTGGTCAAAGAGAAAACATTGCTGAGGAAGAGCATAGGAATAAGTTGCACAGAGGTAAGCAGCATTACCTACGTTGGGATGTTATATAGGCTTAAAGGTATCAAATAACATACTAAATAGGGTAAAGGCTACCACTGTAGCCTTTGTAAGGGGGATGCAGAAAAAATATTGCTGGACAGGCAATATTTTATAACAAGAACTTATTGTGAGCAATTTAGGAGGAAAACCAAGCAGGACATTAAGACAGCCCCAGACCTTTCCCTTACATCCATCCTTAGGCTGTGCCAGCAGGTACACACTGCTGAGAGGTGCAGTGGGAGGCAGGTGACCCCATCCAGTTGTGCTGCTACTATCCTGCTTCCCTCTCGCTCCCCAGCAGCAGCATGGCTATGGCAAGAAAAGGGGAATTGCCAATCAGTCCTTATTTTGGGACCAGCAGTGCCCCTCTGATGTAGGGAGGTGCACTGAGCTTATCAAATCACCTTTAGACCCATACACAGGAGCAGGGACATGGTAAGGTATGTGTCTTCATTTGCAAGGTGTAATTTAAAACTCTGCCCCTACTCTCCAAAACAGGCTGTCCTGTTGGTGTTTATGTGGCGTCCTGGCTTGGGCTTGTTTCCAGCAGCATTTTCAAGAGCTGTGGTTGGGCTACACAGCTCAGGAGCTGCATCACTCAGACTGATTTTCCAAATGTTGAAGGAGAGATGTAGCACGACCTTTGCTCTTCTCTTTTAATGAAACTTTTTAATTTCAAACTGGCCACTGCATCTCTGTGTTCAAACAGACTTCAGGTCTTTTTTTCCTCTTCTATTAAAGAGTCCATTCTCTGCCAACAGCCAGCTGCTTGTCTTTCTTTTTATATTTTATTCCTCATGCATAAAGCAAGGTGCAGCTTTCCCAGGACAAATTCCATCACTAAAAATGTTTCCCCAAATTTCAGAGTTAAAAGCAACAAGGAAGCTTACAGTGAGAGTGAAATTAATCATCTGCTGCTCTTAAAGCTGGTGAAGCTTTTAGTGTTGCCAGCAGCAGATCTCA